TGGGGGTGGGGCCCACTCCTGACTCCTCCCAGCCCTGCACTGCATCCCCCCAGCCATGCCAGAGGGGCCCCCATTCCCCTGCAAGTCCCACTTACCTCAGGCTCCAGGAGAAAAGTGAGTATGAGCTGAGCTGAGCTGAGCTGAGCAGAGCCGTGATTGAGTGAGAGTCTCAGGCCCTGCCCTTCCCCTCCCCCTCCTCCTCCAGGCAGGGGCTGGGATTTCCCGCCCTGTTTGCAAACAGTTTTTGCAGGCTGGAGCGCAGCCACTCTGCAGAGCCATTTGCAAAAGCAGGGAGTCCGCAGGTTTCTCTGCTAAAAGGAGAAATCCACGTTTTCTCTGATAAAAATGGGAAATCCGTGGTTTTCTCTGTTTTTCTATGAGAAATGGAAAACCCGGATCCATGCTGATTACCTTCTGTTTGAGACATACAGATCTCTTCTCTTTGAGACATTCAGAATTTCCCATGTCAATACATTCATCCATTTAGACAGACCCTTGACATAAGTCAACCTCTGTCTTCCACGATCTCATCTTCCTTCAGTCTTTCCAGTTATGACCAGACTTTCAATTTCCTCTTTCCTCATAACGTGTCTGAGAAACTCCAGCTGTCTCTTTCTGATGTTAATCAGCAGCTTCCTCCTGCAGCCTGTTCTTAACAAAATATCTTCATTTGAAATGTGACTTGTCCAACATACCTTCAAGATGCACCTTAAGAACCACATCTCAGTTGTTTCACTTCTCCTTTCCATACTTGGCGATATTGTCCAGCATGCTGATGCATACATGAAAACTGGTATAACATAGCAATCCAAAACTCTTAACTTCATCCCCGATAGAAATGTTACTAACTGTCAATAACTTTTTCATTTTCAGAAATGTGTCTTTTGCCATCCCTGTTCTCCATTTTATTTCATGATTACATTTACCATCTGATGTTAGTCAGCTTCCCAAGTAGTTAAATTCACTGACCTGACTTATCTGTTCCTTTTCCACGTTGATGTTGCATACTGGAATGATCTTCTTTGAATTATCATGCATTCTGTCTTCCTACAGTTAATACTTAGACCCTTCTACTCACTTTCACTAACAATTTTATCTAGAATTCCTTACAGCTTCTCTTCTGAAACAGTTATTAAGACTGTGTCATCAACATAACGCAAGTTCTTCAAATCCTGTCCACCAATGATCAGCCCTGGTAAATCATCAATCTCCCTCAGTATTTTCTCACTGTACAAGTTGAACAAGTCAGGTGAAAAAACATGACCTTGCCTCACGCCTCTCTTAATTTGGATGAAATCAGTTCATTTTTTATCTTCACTGCTGCAGTTTGGTCCCAATAAAAGTTTCTTAAAACTCTCAAGCCTTTACCATCAATATCCAGTTCTTCCAGCATTTTCATTAAAACCTCAAGCTTGACTCTATCAAAAGCTTTGGTATAATCAATAAAACACAAAAAAAGGTCTTCCCTCATTTCCGTTGCCCTCTCCAAAAGCATTCGTACTATGAAGATAGTGTTTCTTGTACCTCAATCTTCAACTAAACCTCACTGAACTTTTGTTTTAGTGAGCAGCAGACTAATTTGTTTTGCAATAAAGCATCACCATCTATTCGTGCATGGCAATTAGGGCACAGTAAACTAATTTACTATGCTGCTGGATAGCCCTGTCAGATACAAGTGGTATCCAGCAGTGCAGTAAATTAATGCGCTTAAACATGTGTAGATAGTGACACCAGGATTAATTTACTGAGTATATACAGTCACCTTAACTGCATGTGTCAGTGTGCCCAGTATGCCAGGCTAGTCATGTGTCAGGCCCTTCAGTATAGGGGGAAATGAAGTTGCTGACAAGCTTTGTCCTTTGAAAAGCATTTTTATTCAGCTCAGAAATCTCATTACCCATTTTGATGAACTCTGGCTGGAACAGAGGCAAGAGTAGCGGGGATTTTATTGCTCTGCCAGTTTTCAAGTGCTAAGAACAATTGTTTTTTAATATTTTTGCAAAGCCTCAAGAATGATCAAACCCCCAACTTTCTGTGCAATTTTTCTAAGGCTGTAAAACCAGTTCCTACACAAGCTTAGGGTAAAACACTCACAAGTTAACAAAAAAAGACCCCACAAGATTTGGCCCTATAAGCTCCATTCACTCTAAAAAGGCTGTGATAAAGGTCCCTCTTTTAGAGGGATCTAAATATAGATAATATGGACACCACGTTGAGTTCATATTGTACCTGTCTGTGTTAGTTTCTAATGAGTGAAAGAATCTCTGAGCTCAAGAACAGGAGCTGCATTGCATCTGCATGAGTGCCTTTTAGACAGCTGGCATTAAAGTGCTAAACAGCTCCAGTGTGTTGATTCCTACAGGGGCCCCCCACGCAAGCATTCTTAACAGTACTGGGAACCAAGTAGGGATGTACCACGGCTTGCCTACCCAGTGAGGCAAGGGAGTGCCAGGGGTGCATGTACAGGCTAGGGCCCCAGCTCAACAATAGACCAATCCACTGGGAGATCCCCCAAATGGCCAAACTAATCCTGCATCTACTCCAACTTCCTCAGGGCAGCCTCCTTATTGTTCTACCTTTCACGCCTTGATAGAACTGTATTTTCTATTTGGAGGCTGTTCTCCAGAGTCCCCAAGCATCCACTGGGTCTGCACTTGGTCCAGCTTCTCCTGTTGTGCTGGACCCCTCCGTCTGGGTTGTGGGTACAAATCCAAACATCCTCTTCCTCCGCTCTGTGCCCCACTAGCACCTGCTCCTCTTTAACTGATCAGGTCTTAAAGGGACTAATTCACCGTAGGACTTTAATCATGGCCCTACAGTTCTAACCGTGCCTTAAGGGCTCTAACTGCAGCTTCTAGCCTCCTCCGTGGGCAGATCCATGCCTCACAGGCCTTATTTTAACGTGCTTTGCTGGCTCTGCTCTGGCTCCAGCCTCAGCCCCTTTGCTGTCTCTGCCCTCTGGGCCCCTGGAACTTGCAGGGCTCAAATACAAAGTGCTCCTCAGACACCCTCCTATGGCCTCCACACCATCATTATAGCCCCAACCCAAACTTCTAATGATTATACTTACTCATTTCTAAGACAACCCTGAATTTAAGATGATCCCCAATAATTAAGCTCTATATATGGAAAATGTATACAGTTGCTGTCATTATCCTGGTATAGAATCTAATTATGAGAGGGTTGTCTTGAATTTGCTGCCTGCCCCCCCGCCCCTCCCCCCATGCTACAGCAGGTAAAGCAGTGGCTGGGGGGGTCAAGCAGCTCCCTTGCCCTCTGCCCCCCTACTTCTTTCCCCTGCAGCCTTCCTGCCCCCTTGCCACCCACACCCCCAACCCCCAGATCCGCACAATCTCTGCTTTCTTCCTCTCCTCCCTTACTGTCAGATTCTGCTCTGGCTTTGTTCCCTACCAGGTCACAGAGCACAGCCTGGGGAAGCACTGCCCTTGCTGGGTAACGCAGCACTAGCAGTGCTGCTGGTTGGCCAGGCAGGGGACAGAGTTTCCCTGTACTCCGTGCCTGGGAGGGAATCCATCCTGAGCTGCAGAGAGCAGAGCTGGAGGAGTGGAGCAGACAGCTGCCGTGGGTCTGACCTCATTGCATGAGGGGTCAAATGAAAACGTTTCGAAACATATTCTGTAACTTTTGTCTGCTCTGCCTGCCAGCTTCAAGCTGTTTTCAAAATGGGAGGGAGGAAAGGAAGCAGAAGGAATTCAGTCTGGGGACTCCAGCCCCTGCTGGAGGGTGGGGCAGATGCACTGGAGCCCGCCCCCCCTCCCCTCCAGGTGTGGGGCTCCAGTTCACCCACTCCACCCTCCAGTGCTGGCTGAGGAACCCCTAGAAGCTCACTCTGCTCCTTTTCCCCCCTCCATTCTGAAAACTGTGCAGGCTGGCAGGGAGGAGGGGCCGTTGCTAGGGGAAACCATCTGCAGGCTCTCAGCCAGCAGCCAAATTCCCTGCCCCCTACCCCACCCCACCCCACCCCACTCCCCCAACCCATCAGCAAACTTCTGTTTGTTCCAGGAGATTCTTGTCATTCAGAATACTTCCTGCAAAGCGTTCTTGGTAAGGTCGGAGCTGCACTTCTGTCTGCATCCCAGGTATCCTCCTTCTAAGTGAGCTGCCTGCTCCTCTGTGCTGCAGATTGCTGACCTGCTTCCTCAGTAACTGGCCTAAGCTCAGCTACCCCCATCAGAATACAACTCTAGTGTGCTGCTCTCCCCTCAAAAGTAACAGAGACCTTGGCCCCCTGTTACAGGGCCAACCTTTTGACAGGCATGCCACGAAGTAAGCCCTGCCCACTGCTCAAGTGCCTCTCCAATCCCCTTCTCTTACCCTATCTGCTGCTGTGTCCCTGCTCCCTGCCTGATCTGCCAGGTGCCACTCACAGAGACTGTTCATATTACTTGTGCTGTAGGTTTGCCACACAGTTCTAGACAAAGTTGTGTGATGGTGTCTAGACAGATGCTAAGGTAGGAGCAGGCAATTATGTTGCGAGGAGGGCCACTTACTGAGTTTTGGCATTGAGGGCCACGTGACAGGCAGTCAGGGGCAGATAAATATTAATTTTCTAAATTTTCACAGCTGGATAGAATGGCCTGGTGGGCTGCATCTGGCCCACAGGCCGCATTTTGCCCACCCCTGTGCTAAGGGCTGCATCTACTTTGCATAGGGATCCTGTAATGGCATGGACTCATCTCATCTGCCGTACAGAAACTGACGCACCCTGAGATGACCTTTAGTTTTTATTTTTACAAAAGTCTTCAACTGAAATAATATCAAATGAGAAATCTGATGTAAGGCCATACCAACTGAAAACATCACACTGAAGATCATAAATTAACAGCCATAGTAAAAAAAAAAAAAAAAATCAAGGAATGTTCTTCAGACAGAATAGTAACTTGAACAATAATTTAAATGATAATTTGTGGCTTCCTAAAGATCAGAACAAACAAACAGCTTCAGTCCTGCTGGAACACAAACAGCTTCAGGCCTGCTGAAACCCCAGGGAGAGTGAGACAGCCCAGGTGGATGTGACTGTTTTATTTATTGAGTGCAGATTTTTAATGGCAGCAGCAGCCTATTTCAGAGAACTCCCCACAGTCCTGTCCCCAGTCTGTCATGTTCCTGAGCTCTGTACCAGGCTAGCTAGTGCCCTGAAGAAAATCATCAGCTGAACCTTCCTGCTCACTGCAGTCAGCTGGTCTAAAAATCTATGTTGGAAAAAGTGTCTGCAACCAGCTTTGTGTGGATTACACCTCCATGCTGCCAAAGCATAGGAGCTTCTCAAACAGTAGCACCACTGCAGCCTGCTCCAGCTAGAAGCCTTGTTCCTCCTGTCCTGCTGTGCCTGTTCTGCAGTGCAGCTAAATGTTCAGGAGCTGATGGTTGAGAGGCCATGGCTTCTGGCCTGGATAGCCACACTTTGCTTCAAGGAAGGAAATGTCCCCTGGAGAGTAATAAGAAAAGGCTAGGAGATGAGTTCCTGATATGCCTTTGCCCTCAAACCTGTGTGACTGGGCTTAGATTCCTAGGTGCTGAGAAGATGGTCACTGAAAGAGCTAAGAAGGTCCTGTCTGTGAATTAGAAGGCTGTAATACAGTGTCAGACTCTCCCCCTGCAAGACAGGCCTGTGTACAGAAGGGGGTGAACCAAGAGGAGGGAGCAAAGGCTGCTCTGGGGGCATATTTGCTATGCCAAAGACCTGAGAGCCACAAAACAATGACGTAAGGCATAGCAGGGTGCAGCCAGCAGAGACTGAAGTTTCCAGCATGTCCTGTTCCAGCAACCCAAATGGACCTAAAGCATTCCATGCTGAGACATGTGCTCTTGGCAGCCCGTGGGACAGAGAGGTACAGGTCACAGAGCTGCAGACCACATCCAGAATAGAAGTCAGAGCTGCAACTGTAGCTGGCTTCCCAGTCATGCCTGTGCAGGAGGGAGCAGAGGTATCTATGGATTTAAAACAAACTTTCCTCTCCTTTTGGGATGCTTGGGAGGTTTCCTGCACCTTACTTCTGCCCAGCCTGTAAATGTTTCCCTGTTTGTATAGCTGTAGGCCCCATGCTGGTGTCTGAACAGCTGCCAGATGTCCTTCCACTGGTGAATTATATATAAAGCTACAGGATCCAAGTTAAGGCACGACTCAGTCAAACATTTCATGTAAACACTCAAGACCTTGAAGGAAGACTCCGCAAGCAATTCAAGTACCATTGAAGCTAGAAGCAGATATGTTCGATCATCTCACACAAAGAAACTCTTCTCATTTCGTAGTTAGTGCAGTCTGCGTCATCTCTGGGTAGCAGGAGGTTTCAGTGCGACTTTTGGAGAGACTCCCTTCTGCAAAATAGATGGAAAGAAGCCATGGCAAGGACTGGGGCTTCTGCAGCTCCCGGCACACACACTCCTGCCACAGACAGCCATTCCCAGAGCCCTCACTTATATAGGGAGAAGGAAAAGAGGAAGGAAATGTGTGCACATAAGAAACAAAGAGTATGTCCACATTGTTCCCAGGATGCTGTACAGACCACAGCTAAGAAACAAGCTTCACTCACTTGTTCCTGCTGTAAACACTGATAAGCTGCAGTACAGGCATCACTGGAGTGGGGGGCAAGCCTAGCACTGCTCTAGCACTGCTCAGGAGCATGCCTGAGAAAGGGAGCCAGAGTACAAACAATCATAGAATCATAGAAAGTTAGGGTCTTCTAGTCCAACCCCCTGCTCAAACCAGAACCATCCCCAACTAGATCATTCCAGCCAAAGCTTTGTCTAGCCTGTCTTAAAAACCTCCAAGGATGGAGCTTCCACAACCTCTCTGGGTAACTTGTTCCAGTGTTTTACTACCCTCCTACTACATCTATTTGCATGCATCAGAAAGCAGCCACACAACATTTTTCAGCAAGTGGCATATAGAGTGTGAGAGAGAGTGGGTACAGCTTGTTTCTTGGCAGCTATCTTGGCATCACTGCTGAGGAGACATAGAGCTGCTCAAAGGAACACCATGCAAGCTGTTACAGGGTTTGGGACAAGTTGAGAGAAAAAGCTTCTAAGTATATCAAGCTGTGAATGCCAAGCACAGAACCTGGATGAGAAAAGAGAGCCCCTCTTCTCCCTGGTACCTGTAACAGAAAACTCAGGGCACAGACAGACATTAGGACCCTGTTCTAACTCATGGCACTTTACATAAGTCACCCTGTGCCCAATCCAACATCTACTCGACCCAGGAGGCTGCCGAACACCTCCTCTGCCCAGCCTCCGGGGCTGTCAGCAAGAGAGGGGGGAAGGAGAAGGGGAAGGGGAAGTGGGAGGAAAGGGAGGTCCCAGCTGCTGAATGGAGAGAGCTGAGGGGGAGAGGGTGGGGAACAGGGCCTCCTTGTCTCATGCAACGCCCGCCCCCCTCCAGCTACTCCAAAGCTCCCAGCTGCTGAATGTCCAGAGCTGAGGGGGATGGTGGGAGTGGGGAAATGCCTCATGACCATGACCAAGCTCCCTCCAATACCGTAGCCAAGGTGTCTGGGGAGGGGGCCCCATTTCCCTCCCCATCCCCCTCAGCTCTGGCCATTCAGCAGCCAGCTCTGAGAGGGAAGGGGGGGAATGGAGCCCCCTTACCTCGTGGGCTTGACCTGGCTCCTCCCAATAACCCAGCCAAGGTAGCTGGGGGTGGGGGGCGCAAGGCGAGTGGGACCTGTTCCCCACACCCTCCCCCTCAACTTTGGCCATTAAGGATCCAGGAGCTCCCTTTCCTTCCCTCTCCTTCCCCCTGACAGCCTGGGGGGTGGGGCTGGGCTGGTAGAAGCAGCCCAGCTTGGCCCCGGAGTGAAAAATTAACCCTGGAGGGAACACAAATTCCCTAAGATGCTCTGTTTTTGAGCACCCTAATGTAATACCTGATTTAACCAAGGTTAATCTTTTGCATGATTGCCATTTTAAAAGCACTCTGCAGCTGTGTACATGTGTTAAGACACAGCTGTAGAGAGGTTTCAGGGGCTAGATCACTTGAAAAATGAGACTTCTGCCTGCACCCATGCAGAAAGTGACTCACCTGAGGCTGGTGCTGGCTAGGCTGAAATTTGAGGGCTGCAGGCTTGGCTGGGGGAATGGGCAGAGATGGCGAGGATGGTGTCCCGACACCTGCCAAAGTCGAGCCAGGTTGATTTCCTTCTTTAAACTGTCAAATAGGCAAGACGAAGAGCATCACTTAATCTGGAAATTTACAAACACTTTGTGTTCAATGATTGTTCTCTGGATTATTTCCACAAACCAGCAGCAGCCCTTCTTACTCAGCAGGGCAATAGCTTCCTGTGTACATCTTAAACAGTGACTCCCAAAGGGTGTGCCATGGCACTAATGTGCTGTGAGAGTGACAGAAGTGTGCTGTGAGATCCCCTATGTGAGGAGCTAAATGCTCTCCTCCCCTGTTCAGCACCCTGTGCCTGACTAAGCTACTCCAGCAGTATCTGTAGTTGCTCTTCTAGGAAATGCCGCTGCTTTTGCCTTCCTCTGCCCTTCACCACCAGGCAGCCCCTATGCCAGCTCCCCCCACACTCCCAGGAGTGCTCTCTGCTGCAAGCAGACAGTGGATGGATGGATGGATGGATGGATGGATGGATGGATGGATGGACGGACGCACGCAACTGTGCTTTGCAGTCTGGCTATTCCCCTCTATTCCTTCCCTGGTACCCAGAGCCAGCATGAGGGGGCACAGGGATGGTCTCCAGACATGTGAGACCCTGCAGGAACAGTCTTAGCAGTGCGGGCTGCCCTTGCCTCCGAGGTACAAACCAGAGATCGGGAACGAGCAGACAGTGGAAGAGTAGGGCAGTTCTTTTTTGGGATGTCATTTTCAACAGTACATCTCAGGACTGGTATGATTTCCTCTGGTGGGGGAATGGAATGTTATATGCAGGGATCTTGGTTTTCTGTTCACCATGGAAAAATGTGGTAAAACCCAGATTTTCTCATTTTAAGGAGAAAAAACTGGATTGTCTCATTTTAAAGAGAAAAACCCAGATTTTCTTCTTTAAAGGAGAAAAACACAGCAAACAGTGGGTTTCCCCTTGCAGGCTGGCAAGAGCTCTAGCCTGCAAGGGGCTAGGGAAAGCAGGAGGAGGGCGATCAGCCAGTAGGTGCCATGTGAATGTGTGCACATGCACATGTACAACCACCACCAGGCAGCCTAGAGAGCAGCTCTCGCAGGTAAATCTGGTGATGGGTTAGTGGGTGGGGAGGAATTGAGGATCCCACAGGGAGGGAAGGAGTTGGGCAGGGCTGGGGCTGCTGCCCAGCCTGGACAGTGTGTGGAACTTGGGGCCTGGGGCTGGAATGCGTGGCCACAGAGCCCAGGTGGGAAGTGGGACAGGGCTACAGGTGACTCGTCCGGGATGCTGGGGGGGGCAGATCTGTGCGTGTGGCAACAGTGGGAATGGGCTGCCTGCTGCAGGCTCCCCACCCTGCTGCCCTGCCCCACAGCCCAGTGGGAGAGACATGATGCAGCACGGCAGAACGGTGTGGGGAAGCTCAATGCTGCCACCATGAGTTCAGCACTGCCAAGGCAAGGTACCCCCTGCCTGACTAGCAGCAGCGGTGGTGGCATGACAGTGGGGATCACTGAGTATCAGCAACAAAATTCTCTGCCCTGCTGCACCAAGTCCCACCCAGCAGAGCAGGGAGCCTGAGCCCACAGTGGCCAGCCCACATCCACCCCCCACCCCGACAGGTTCCACTCTGGCTGTGCCACCCATGGTGGAAGGGGAGCTGGGCTCCACTCTGCCACAGCAGCCGCTGTGCCCATCAGGTGGCAGCCAAAGCTCGAGCGCTGCTGGAGGGAAAGGGACTCTGGACCCAGGTTCCTGGCTTCCTAGTCCTGGCGGCTGGAGGGGGCAGGGGGCTTTGAGTGGGGGGGCATCATCGGGTGGGGGGGTGGCTATGGGTCAGGAGTCAGGGGCAATGGCATGGGCACGGCACTGGCATATCAGGGCTGCTCAGAGCCACAAAACAGTAGTCATGGAAGAGCTGCAGCCAGACCCACATTCTGGTGAGCAAAGGGGGAAGGGGGAGCTCTTATTTTCCATGATAAAAAACCCAAAACCAAAAGCCAAAATTTATAGGTATTTAGAATTTATTTTATTATAGTGATTGAGGGGCTGATAACCTTCCAAATTGCTTTGAAACTGTAAATAGATCAATAAAATATTGTGTTCAACTGATACCTGTATATAGTGGCGTTTCATTTTAATCATGGAAAAACATGGAGTTTGGGGGTTTTAATCAGAGAAATTACATTTTAATCAGAGAATTTGTCATTTTTAAAAAAGAAAACTAGGATCCATGGTTATGTTTTGAAAAAATATATACACATATATATGTACACACACACACATCCCCTTATCAGGTGTAAGAGTGAAGTGTGCTGCCAATTTTAATTCAGAAAAAAGTGTGCCCGAGGTGTTGTCAAGAGTTTGGGAAACACTGTTTTAGCATCCAGAGATGCATCCAGAGATGCATCCTCTGCAGCCCAACCCAGAGCCCACCCTAAGTCCCTCAGTCTCTGGCACTGGAGTCTGAGTCTCAAGGTCAGAAGGGGCTCTATAGCCTTTTGTGCTCTGAGATCTGTCCTACATGTCGGGGTCATTGTGAAGTGCAACCAGATATATTCTGGTGGGTAGAGCCCCAGGGAACTGGAGCCAGATGCCTACGGATAGGATCAGCAGCTAAGATGTTACCTGTTTGCTTTTCAGCTCTGGGAGTGGCCTGCTTGGTGGATCTGGCTTCACCTAATTAAAGAGAATAAAGAATCATTAAACAGACCCCAAACCCTTCTCATACACTCTGGGCTGGTGAAAAGGAGCCTGCACCTTCCCAGTCAATGTAGTTTAGCAATGTCCCTCATGGGTGCAAAAAGAGCTGTAACTTTAAGATTGGCCACAGATCAGTGAGGTACAGCCCAAGGGCCCAGAGTGGCATCTGGCCCATTCCTTACAAACAAGGGAATTTTGTTGAGAATTTAATTGAAAATTAAATCACAGCAAGAGGATAGCAGTTCATAGATTCATAGATGTTAGGGTCGGAAGGGACCTCAATAGATCATCGAGTCCGACCCCCTGCATAGGCAGGAAAGAG